AGTATAACATTATATACAACTAAATTTCAATGACAAAATGAGGATGTCAGCGATAGTTAAACGTGAATTTAGCAAGCAAGTTTACTTGATTCGCCAAGTTTAGTCAATTCAAGATGTTAATTGTGTTATTGGCTAACTAATCATAACAATTAGAACCACTCAATCGAGATTCGTGACTCGATGTTCCCTACTCAGCAATATATGATATAGAAAAAGAGTACAGAATTTTCTAGAAAATATTGAGTGTGGTGACAAACATTTGAAAAATCATTTATAACAGATTTCATACTTTTAGCCAAACTATAATCATATGTAATACGATTTATTAATTAAGCGACAATCGTTTAGCATTGAAAACTGAGTAATGTAAACTAAAAGCTTTAAATTAACAGTTTACTCATAGACTTGTATGCGTAAGCTGTTCATTTAAAACTTTTGGTTTACATTACTCAGTTTTTAATGCAAAACGATTGTCACTTAATTAATAAATCGTATCACATATCAAGTTTAAGACATTTATACTTTAAGCTAAAATTATGACGACTTCCAGAGATTTCACGGACAAAGTAGTGTTGATCACCGGCTCCAGCAGTGGTATCGGTGCTGTCACTGCCATAGAGTTCGCTCGACTCGGGGCTCAAGTGGTGGTCACCGGTCGCGGGAAGGATAGGGTGTCCACTGTGGCCAAACAGTGCGCTGAGGCGTCGCCTACCGGTGCTAAAGCCCTGGAAGTGGTGGCCGATGTGACCAACGATGACGACTGTCGCCGATTAGTCTCAGACACTATTAAGACGTTCAAAAAGTTGGACATTTTAGTGAACAACGCGGGTCGGGGGTTAGTGTCGAACATATGGGACGAGGATATCCTCGATAAGTATGAGCTCATTATGAACACAAACCTCCGGTCAGTCGTATGGTTGACTCACTTATGTGTCGAGCATTTGGAGAAAACTAAGGGTAATATCGTTAACGTGTCGAGCATTGCGGCACTTAAACCGGTAAATATTTATAATTTTTTTTAATTTTATTTATTTTCATTTTTATATGCATGGTCATTCAATATATTTGTATACAAAAAATTATTTTAAAATGTTTAATGCTTTTAGTAGGCATGCATAGTTATTGAATTACCCTGTTTAAATATAATTTTCATTTTAATTTATAATAGGTAGGGTTCATTAATTTGTATTCAATGTCAAAGTCGGCGCTGGATATGTTCACAAAGTGCGTAGCGCTCGAGTTGGGCCCCAAAGGCATACGGGCTAACAATATCAAGTATGTGCTTGCTAATATTCACTAGTAATTGACTAATATGAAATGAATGTGCTTGTTACATAAAATATTTTTACGGTAATAGTCCCGGTGTCGTTAAGACCGAGGCCATCATAATCAGTCGTAATGTGACTAAAGAGAAATCCGATGAAATATATGTAGAGATGGCCAAGATGTGTCCGATGGGACGGGTGGGTGAGCCCATGGATGTGGTTAAAGCCGTGTTGTATTTGACGTCCGATGTCGCGTCGTTTGTGACCGGATCCAACTTTGTGGTCGATGGCGGCGCCCAATGTGTCTAACCCTCATGTTTATCGATTTGCGGCCATGTCTTATTTATTGTCATTATAACCTAGATAAATTTAATCAAGAATAATATTTATGGAATTATTAACGAATTTGTTTTGAATTAAAAGTTTCTATACTGTATGAACGAGTGTGCAATGTTACCTTAGCATTTAATAATTTTAATTGCAAGGGTATTATCCAACTTGCGAATTTATGTTTAGATTATTGATTTTTAGTTTTATTATAAATATAAAATCGTCGCCAAAATAGTTGATAATGGTTAAATTAAAATTAATATAGGTTAAATATGAGCTAGATCAAAATAAATTTGTTTGCAACTATTGTTTTCTGGCACCGATCTATTTGTATGCCCAATTTTATCCAGACATAAGGGGAACGGTAGATATGACTGTTTATCAATGGCTCAAAAACTAAGATGTAGGTAAAATCTGATTTTTGGAAATTGTGCGCAGGGTCAATATAAAAAAAGTAATTTCTGGATTTTGAGAAATTTTGCCCTATTGATTTTTAAAAATTCTTTATTTATGAAATTTTTATGATTTGAAATCCATTAATCTCAGCAACGACTCAATGGATCTGGGTGATCTCCACTTTGTTAGAATTGTCTTTCAAAATACTAAAATTTATTTGCTTGCACTGATACTGTATCTTGTG